GTGCGTGTGAACGGTTCACCCTTAATTTTAATGTTTCTGAACTTTTTTTTTTCCTTCCTATTATGTTCATGGTGTTAAATGGTCTTGATGTGTGTCTAATTGACAGAATAGAATTGTCCAACTCTTTGAGACGAACACCTATTCGGTTGTCAACATTTTCGACGTAACATTGCGGCCTCAGCTTAATGTGACTGGTGCAGTTGAGGTATTTAGGAAGCAAAATTATCATCATTGCTATTTCTCCCCATTTGAGTTTTAAGGCTTTATGACATCTTATTGTTCTTCATAACTCAATTAAGGATTGTTACATGTATCGGCAGGTTCCGGAGGGCAATGGTTCTGGAGTAGTCTGGGATGGACAAGGACATATTGTGACAAATTATCATGGTAAGGGATGTCTAAGGAACTTGTTAGAGTTGTTAAATATAACACATAGGCTTTCATTTTGATACTGTTGTTATTATGTGGACTTTTGTGCTCCTTTATTTGCAGTAATTGGTAATTCCCTCACAAGAAATCCAAGCCCTGGGCAGGTTGTTGCGCGGGTTAATATTTTAGCATCAGAAGGGTGAGATATGCAGTGCAGTGCATCTTATTATGCCACTAAATTTTTGAGTATTTGATGGCCAATTTCGTTATTATTCTTTTGTTGTTGAAAATTCCTGAAGGGTACAAAAGAATTTTGAGGGCAAGTTGGTTGGTGCTGACCGCGCAAAGGACCTAGCTGTTTTGAAGGTAAGTTTTGTTTAAGATGAATCAAATCATTAAATATTGTAGTTATTCTTGAAGCTTGTTAATATTGTAAGAGTACTCAGTAATGTCTTCACATTGCTAGGTTGAAGCCCCTGAAGAGCTATTGAAGCCAATCCTTGTGGGGCAGTCATATTTGCTAAGAGTGGGGCAACAATGTTTGGCAATTGGAAATCCGTTTGGCTTTGATCACACCCTCACTGTTGGAGTGATTAGTGGATTGAACCGAGACATTTTTAGTCAAACTGGAGTCACAATCAGTGGCGGAATCCAAACAGATGCAGCCATCAATCCTGGAAATAGGTAAGAGACAAATTTCCACTACACAATTTGATTGTTTTAAGTTTCCGAATGAAATAAATTTTTGAATGATTGAGTGAAAAATTCTTATTAATGTTTTGTCTATCTGCCGCTTATATTTTTTCCTGTAATTATGGCAGTGGAGGGCCCCTGTTGGATTCCAAAGGAAATTTAATTGGGATTAACACTGCAATATTTACTCAGACAGGTAGATTTCCTCTCCATGCTTGGTTTTCTTCAAAGTTTTCTGTTAGGATCTTGAAAATCTATGCTTCATTAACAATACTAGAAATAGAAAATTACAAGAT